TGTTGGGGGCAATATGCTGACTCTCTGTAAACCGCTTAGAGAGGCCTGAAAGGCCTATGAAGCGGTATATAAGTCTACTGCTATTGCTATATATGACTCCTATTCAGTCATATGAAACAGTAAGTGTACCCCATTGAAATTTTTGACTTTTGCAACATATTTCAACATATATTTATCTTTCAATAATATTGATAAAGGGAATCTAACACGTGTGATGCACTGCTTACATTTTGTAGTACATTCTGTAATTTAAATATGCAAATTTATCATATGGAAAAAAATGAGTGTACATCTTCATTTATTGCCACCTCAGTACCTAAAATGAGAATCCACTGCAAATGATTAAACTATCAATCATCTGTTCAAGAAGATAATTTGCAAGTGGAAAAGATTTCAAATAATTGCCAGCTTGTTCTGGCCAGGCCAGCCTAAAAATTCAGCCTGAAAGCAGAATGCAAGTTGCTGAAAAAGTCTCTTAAATACCCAAAGGTTTTTTCACATGACCTACAGGTAGCTGTTGCCACGACATATGTGAAAGTGTGGATATCATTAGGAAGAAGCTGCACAGATTAGATCTTTATGACAGGTGTGCCAAGGGGAAACCTTTGCTTGCTAGAAAGAATATTAGGGCAAATTTTACTTCAGACACTGTAGACAAAGACAGAGACTTCTGCAACATTGTGCTCAAAGAGGACAAAGATAGTTATTTGTCCACAATACCAAGGGACATATTTGGCAAAAACCACAGATAGCATTTCAACAGAATAACCTGATATCAGCTGTAAAGCATGATTGTGGAAATGTTATGGTTTGGGGCTGCTTTGCTGCATCAGAGTTTGACTATCATCAAATCCAGTGTGAATTCTTCCTTGTACCAGAGAGTGCTTGAGGCATATATATTCATGATGGTTTTAATGTCCCTGAGTTATGTGATCATATTTTGCGATCTTCTGACAAGCAAAGTCAACAGGAAAACCAGATTTACCTAACAACCATGTTACTAATGTAACAGTTTCAGTGAGTCACTAAAAAAACTGTGGCAAGAAAAGTTGTAAATGTGGCAAAATTTAACAAAGTTGAGGACTATATGTAGATTATTTTCATACCATAAATTTTGTTGTTTCATTCAAAGCATTCATATTGAGTGGCTTAATAATGCAGCTTTTACATGGTGGTGTTCAATTATTCTGTCCATAATTTATTATTAGGAGATTGATCCTAGCTTGGGTGTGGCTGAGCTTCCCGATGAATTTTTTGAGGAAGATAATATGCTAAGTATGGGCAAGAAAATGATGCAAGAAGCAATGAGCGCCTTTCCTGGTATCGATGAAGCAATGAGTTACGCTGAAGTGATGAGGTGAGATTTGTGAACGGAAGTATCAGGTCATTGTTTACACTATTATGTATTTAAAACTTCACTTTGGAACTTGCTTCCAAAGTGAAGTTTTAAATATATAATAGCGTAAACTTTTTCGCCTGCATTCAATAATGTAACATGTAATACAGTTTTCTCTAGCAGTAAGTCCAATGTGATGTGGATGTGGACTTCTCATTTGTGATGCTGATTTCATTTATGTTACAGACTCATGGCCTGCTGTGAATGTACAATTCTCTCATAAGATTCTTGTATGTATCTTGTGTTTGTCTAGTGACCAGAACTCAAATTGCCAAGATTCTCCATTTCACATTTCCATTGATGGGATGCAAAACCAAAATTCATATTTATGGATTGCATTTGATTGGTGGGAAAGAGATTTGTGGTATATTTTAATTGGTGGCTACAACAGTAGAAATTAGCAATCTGGAAATAATACTGTTTTGGAATATTCTGATAGTGTTCTCTCTCTGACCGGAACAGGTTGGTGAAAGGAATGAATTTTTCCGTGGTGGTTTTCGACACAGCACCCACGGGACACACATTACGGCTGCTTAATTTCCCCACAATCGTGGAGCGGGGGCTAGGTCGACTGATGCAAATAAAGAACCAAATCAGTCCCTTCATATCCCAGGTAAAGGAGGAGAATTATCAGCAACATAAAAGCATAAGACTTTATTGTTAAAAATATTACGCTAGCATCTGACTTGAATGCTACCTGTTCTGTGTTCCTGCCTGAACTCCAGTATTATTCTTCCAATATAGCCTTAGGGAACAGTGTATAATTATCAGTTCTGGTATGTGACATGGCTTCTAGATAGAGTAGAAATGAAAATATTGTTTATTAGCAGTAGCATTGAAGTATATTGCTGTGCTTGATTATTCTGCCCTGAGTTGGTTAGCCTATTTTAGTTTCTCTTTTACTTGTCTTATACTACAATTATGATTTGCCCTCTGTTGGATGTTCATTGCAACTTTTTGCTTTTCACTAGATGTGTAACATGCTTGGCCTAGGAGACATGAATGCTGACCAGCTGGCTTCCAAACTGGAAGAAACACTTCCTGTCATCCGCTCTGTCAGTGAACAGTTCAAAGATCCAGTAAGTATATGGCAAAAGCAGAGGGATTAGTGAGGATATAATCTCTAGGCATAAGCAGATCTGAAAGAGATCCACTTCTTCCTGGAAACTGGAGAAACACATTCATTTTAGTGGTAGTAAGGAAAGGTGGATGATTCTTCCTGCATCTAGATTCTTAGAGAATAATTATTATTTAAACTAGAACCATTTTTATTCACAAATGTTTCACTAAGTTAAATAGAGAATGTAGAATACCAGAGTTGGAAGGGACCTTGGAGGTCTTCTAGTTCAATCCCCCTGCTCAAGCAGGAGACTCTGTACCAGGGATGTCAAACTTGCAATGTCATGTTGTTGTCACGTGACATGTGACTTTTTCCCCCTTCACTAAACCGAGGGTGGGGGTGGCCAGCGTGTGACGCATCTGGCCCACGGGCTGCGAGTTTGACACCCCTGCTCTATACCATTCTAAACAAATGACTGTCCAATCTTTTCTTAATTCCACACATGGACACGCCACTACTATCATATAACAATATCATGTTGTTATCATGTTATTGAATTCATGCAGGAGGGACAGGAGCTGATAAGCAAGGAAGCATGCCAAGTCCTAATCCACCCATGGCTTTAAGAGTGATAGCCAGCATCCTAAAATGCATTTGAAAATAGACCTGCAACTACAAGTGATACAAAGAGTTATGTGATTTGTATGCTCTCCCAGGAACACTCTCCTATTGCTTCAAGTTTTTGTGTAGTTTTCAGGCACAGTTCCATGTAAATAATGTAGGTAAAATTACAAGGCATCAGTTACAACTGGTGTCATTAATGTATATAGGACTGGAGTCACATTTCTATAGAATGTAAAGATTGGAAAGCTTATAGACTTTTTGCTCAAATTAGAAAAAAGGAAATAGTGACCTCTGGATTTGAGGGGATTATTGTAATGTTGTGGGAGGAGGGATAGATGTGGTAATTCTGTGAAGAAGGGTGAAAATCACTTTTTTTCTGCACCATTTTCTCTCTCTGTATTTTTGTGTTTGTCTTTTATCTATATAAAAACATAATAAAAGTTATTAAAAAATCATGCATAGAATGCATGCGGGTTGTACAGCATATAAATTGAGCAAAAGTACTGGTGCTTAGCCATCAAGTCTAGTTTATATGGTTACAGTCCCACTCTGCTTTTCAAAAAAGTTATAGATGCTCCCTCCCCATCCCTCTAATAGGGAGAAACATTAATTAGTCAGTTACAAGTAAATGCAATTAATCTGTTTTTCATATGTATCATTTGAGTAATTTATTTGATCTTTCCAATTGTAGCTGAACAAACTTGAAGACAGAATATTCCAATTAAAATATCAATTTGCTATGTTGCCAACAAGAGTCCTCAAGCAGGATTTTTTAAAAAAATGGATTATTAGAGATAGGTTAAAAATGACTAACAACTATTCCACAAGCTGTCTTTTCCAGACATTATCCGAGATTGTACATTGTACAAATTTTGTGGCTTGGCTTTCATGCTTACTATACCAATAGTGTTTATCTGGAAGGGAAGAATAAAGATATTTGACATATTGGTTAATTTGCTATAAGATTTGAAAAAATAATATAATTAAATAATATACTAATTGAGAATGACTGAAATGGAACTGAACTCATATTAGGAACTGAGGCTTGAAGATTGCAAATGGACACTAGAGGGAAGTAAAGGACTAGACAGAAAAGAGTTAAACTGGCTAAGCAAGCTATAATCTTATCTTGAAGAGTTTTTTAAATAATTATATTGAAGTACTAATAGTTAGTGTCTCAAAAAGAATACAGATGTCAGTGGATAATTTTTTAGAAGATGATGAGAAAAAATAGAGTTTGAAGGCGTGGAAGACAACATTGAGATAATCAACATGAGAATACAGAAGATAAATCAAGAAAAAAGATCTAGACATGGAATAGCTGTGACAAATTCTGGATAATGTCTCTTTATGGGATTTATAAAGTTGACTAAAGCTGATGAAAGATTTAAAGACTCTTCTTGAATGTCAGGAGATTATTGAAAGATCAAATCCTAGGATGCCACTGGAATGACTTAAACAATAAGATTGTGAAGAGCAAAAAGAACTATAAAGTTGAACCATTTGATCAGGGATAAATTACTTGTTCAATATGTCTCACTACTCCTAATGAACTTTTTGCTAAAACAATGTTGAAAAGATGACAATTGGGGACAAATGTTTTTTATTCGTATTTTATTTGTAATTTTGTTTTTCTTCTGTACCTTCTGAATTTAGTTTTTCCTATGTTTATTAGAAGTTCAGTAACACTTAAAGTGCTTAGGGGAAGTTCTTTCTGTTTCTGTTCCTCAAATTTGATTTCTGGCACTATCTTGTTTTCTAAAATATGAGAAAAGAGGGAATGGAGAAAGAGGCAGCTGCATTGATGATGGGTTCTGGGGAGAGCAGATGAAAGAAAGCTATACTATGCACTTCTGTTCACATCATTGAACTAATTACATCTTATCTGTGTTACAGGAACAAACCACTTTCATCTGTGTTTGCATTGCGGAGTTCCTATCACTGTATGAAACAGAACGGCTTATCCAGGAGTTGGCCAAATGTAAAATTGACACCCATAATATTATAGTCAATCAATTGGTCTTTCCTGACCCTGACAAGCCTTGCAAGATGTGTGAGGCTCGGCATAAAATCCAGTCTAAATATCTTGACCAGGTATGGTTAGAAGCACTGTGAATTCCCTGATAAGCTGGGAACATATTAATCCATATTAGGCCTGCATAGTCTTCCAAGCAGCCTTGTGTGATAATAAATTTGCTGTCTCTGTGCCAAAAGGCACTGCCAAGCACCTCAGTTTTTCTAGGCCAGCATCACTTCTAGTGATGCTGCTGCTTGAGCAGCTGTGGAACTCAAGGTACACTATATTGCCAAAAGTATTCGTTCACCCATCTACATAATCAGAATCAGTTGTGAGCGAATACTTTTGGCAATATAGTGTATCTCTGTGCAGCCTGCAGTGATTTTTAATATGTCAATGTAGCCCTTTCCCACTACAAGTTGCGCAGGCCTGATCTGTATAACAGATACAGATAAAGCAGAGTTTGCTTTATATTAGGAAATATTGAATAGCCAGAAGTTAGCAATTCTATTTCAGCCTTTAAGGCTTAAATATCGTGCTTTTGAATATCCTCAGCATTTGTTTCGCAGTGAATGTTTAGACTTTCTGAAGGTACGTAAAATCCAGTTGAACATTGCTCATTAGCACTTAAAATTTGACTGATCACAAGTAACTGACGAGGGCAGAAAATGTTTCAGCTGTTTTTCTGGATTTGTTCTTTAGGATGTCATGCTCTTGTCTTGTTTTTATCTGCCTGCGGGGTGTGCAAATTTTTCTTTTCTGTAACTCCTTATGATTATAAATATTTTAGATAATATAAAAGATGTATATAATAACTAATTTTGATGGTAGATTTTTGCCATATTTAAATAATAAGTTAGGGTCTAGTTGCCTATGTTTGTCAAACTGCTTACCTATTTCTATTCTTTTTTCTGCTGTTTCCTTTTTAAAAATATTTTCCTTGCCTTCGCTTTTGTTTTTTCTTTTAAAGTTCTCAACCTTTCTGCCTGTCTTTCTAAACTTAGCATCAGGATTCTGTAATTTCCCCTTTTATTCTTTAATTTCTTCCTAGCTTTCAAGGAATGTTTTCTATCTCTTTTTTAGTCCCAATCCACTTTCCTTTCAAGTGTTTATGGCGTAAAATGACTTTGGTGTAGCCCCAGTGGTATGGCCCAGTGGATGATACCAAAACATATTGGACAACACTTAGGAAAGTTGTGCATTGGCAGAATTTCCATCAGTCAATTCCAAAATGTCACAATGTTTGGATCCACACATATATATATATTACACTGATAATTATGATATCATAGGTTATTGGGAAGAACTCAGTATGTATGAAGGCCTAACTAACAAAATAAATAGCAGCTGTGACTTCACATTATTGTGAACAGATAGCAATAATACAATGGATCATCTGGCGAGGTAATTGTATAAGTGAAATTGCACTAAGATACAACTTTAGTTTTACAGGAAAACTTGTGCAATTTTTTTTATCTGCTATTAAAAAATGTAGCAAACCTCAAATTTAGCATACTTAATGTATTGAAATGCAAATTATATTTAGAATTTAAATCTACCATTGAATTAAGATGGTATGAGAAGGGTTATAAAGAATAAACATAGAAAACTTTCTAACCTAAAAGGATAAATTGAAATAGAAAATTCTGTAAATCTTAATCCTGATTCTTGGGTTTTTAGGATTGTTTGACTTCCATTTTTTTTCTTTTATCCAGATGGAAGACCTTTATGAAGACTTTCATATTGTAAAGTTGCCACTTTTACCCCATGAAGTGCGAGGAGCTGATAAAGTCAATACCTTTTCAAGTCTTCTACTGGAGCCCTATAAACCACCCAGTGCAAAATGAACCCCTATGGACTGACTCCCCCTAATTGCCCCCTCTAGCCTTCCATGCCTGCTCTTCCCTATTCTTTTCCTGAGGGAATTCCATCTTTTCCATTGTCTTCTCATCTGTTGAAATCCTACGACTGATAGTTTTGCGGTGAAGCTAGAAGAAGCAGAATTGGCACTCATGTAACTTTTGTTCTAATAACTGATTATGTAACTCCTTGAGACATCTCAAAGCCAACTACAATGTTGAATCCATTCCCTTCCTGGACTAACTACCTAAGTTAAATTTGTGTCAGTTTTTTGTTTATTTCTCTGTCACTTGGTTTCTTTCTGGATCATATCTCTTGGGATTAATGATGTTCTGATTGAGGTGCCAGTCAGGTGTTATGTTGATGATACAGAAGCTGTCAGTTCATTTACAACATCAGGAACACCAGTGCTGATGGGAAGTTTGTAAATTGTAAGGGAAATAATTTCAGTGCTTCTTATCACTCAAAACTCTGATTTTCATTGGGTAGTGTCAGAAGAACAAGGCAAAACATGGAAGCTATTTGAGAAGGGGATGCTTATTTTAGGGGAGTATAAAGCCACTGAGCTTAAATTATTTGTTTCCTTAATGTTAACAAAAGTATTAATGATGAGGTGGTTTTATTGGCTTTCTGATGCTGGAAATCATAAGTGTGGAAAATGATTTAAAATGGGGAAGGGAATAGAGGGGTTTGGAATTTAACAAATTATAGGTGTGTTTAAAATATTTCGGTATATGTACAGATCATTTTCTAGTCCCCAGTTCCCTCACTCAAAGAAAACTCTTGGTATTAAAATGTCAGTGTATGCACTATTTATGAAGTTCATATGTGTTTGTGTGCTGAAATATAAAAGGAAAGAGAGTGTAAATTGGAATAAAGCAGTTCATGGTAGAGCTGGACTTATTGCTATTAGTTATAATTGAGCCCTTCCAGAGTTCAGAAGTGTTCTAATGTATTTATGAAGTAATTTAATTCTAAGAAAATTAGAAGGGAAACTACCACATCACTTTTGAATCTTTCACTGGGTACAATGTAAAACTGAGATGGGGGAAGAAGAGAGAGCTAGATATTATTAGTTCATAGCTTTAACCAGCTATTTTAATACTTTGAAAAGCATATCCCTTCACCTGGACATTAGGGATGTGGTCTTGATGATGATGATGAGTTGCCAGTATAGATAGTCCTCAACTTACAACAGTGCATTTAGTGACCATTCAAAGTTACAATGGCACTGATAAGTGATATGATCTTTTCCCACACTTATGACTGTGGCAGTATCCCCATGGTCACGTGATTTACATTTGGCTGCTGGACATCTGGTTCATATTTATGACAGTTGCAGTGTCCCAGGGTCATGTGGTCATGTTTTGCGACTTTCTGACAAAGTCAATGGGGAAGCAAGATTCGTTTAACTGTGTTACTAATTTAACAACTGCAGTGATTCACTTAAATGCAGCAAGAAAAGTCATAAAATGGCTCAAAATTCTCTCTAACAAATCTTTGAATTAGCAACATACATTCTGGGCTCAATTGTCATAAGTCAAGGACTACTTGTACTTTGCAACTCTGAATCCTACGGAAATTTCCTTTTGTAAAATAAAGTAGGTTCTTTTGAAGACTTCGTTCATTTGTAGACAAAGGAGCGTGTGTGTTTGCTCCCACAGTACGCTGATTTTCAAAAGATGGAATTTACAAACTTAGATCAGATCTTTAAGTATGTGGTATTTTCTTTGATAAGAGGCTTCACCTTTTGAAAGCAAGGAGTTGTGGAATCCTTTTCTGGCTTTTTAAAGAAGAATGGGTGAATTAATGTGAAAATGTGTATGGCAAAAGTCTGAATTTTCTCACTGAAAAAGACTGGATCCCCTTCATTTTCTGTGGCAGAAACAAATGTGATGGTTCTTTTATTTTTAAGTTTCAGGCTTTAAATGTATATAAAACATGGTAAAACAAATGGACGGATAAGTAGTTCTTCAGGAGAAGATATCTGTAGAATAACATTACTAACTTCAGTTAATAGGTAGAGACAGATCAAACTACTGTAATTTTGAAAGCCTTCCTAATAAATCTTTCTTTTCTCTCTCCTTTTTATGTTATTATGAAAGTGAATCTTGAGCAATGTGTGCGCTCAAATCTGCATCAGAAAGGTTTTGTAGAGTTAATGCAGCTGTGAAAAGCATTGCCAGAAGTGTGTCAACTGCAATTTGTTGTATATAAACATTTTTCTGATGGGAGGAAATAATTGCTTTTTCATGGACCAAAATTCGGAGGTTTTCTTTGGGGGTGGACCAAAGCTTTGAAGTTCCAAAATTCTCTCCGCAGCATTCCTACTTAGAAGAATTAAGTAGATGGTGAATGAAAGACCTCTTGAGACCTTGTCAAATGGAAGTTGATAGTTTTCATTCCAATGAGCTGAAAGTCTGGCTTGGGCTAAGGCAAGCCAGACTTTTAGCTCATTTATTTTTTCATCTACATACAGATAATTTTGGAACTAATGGATTTAAGTTCCCACATTTTCCCCCAAAACACAGTTTACATATTTTTGCCAATATAGATACTAAACATTGTACACGTATATCAAAAAGTGAGGCTGAGCCTCTAAACATGGTATCTAAAGTTCAAATAAGCTTAATGTTAAATGCTACACACATTGCTGGATGTGGAGTAACTCAGTGCTCAGTTCTACAGTCTGAAATAGCTACATGAATCTCACCAATGGAAGCCATGGACGGCAATTTGCCAGGAATTCCACTGAAGAGATTTAGTCTGTCATACTTGTGCTTGTTTTTAATATTTCAGGGTTCTATATTCCCCCAATTAATGGCAAAATGCAGGGGTGAAAGTTTGTGAATCTGTCAAAAGTTTGTGAAACCTTTAAAAGTATCCATAACCCTGCAATATTGTGGCCTATGAGTGATTTGAGCTTCATCTAATCTCTGTTAGTAGATAAAGAGGTTCTGGTAAAATAATACACAAATCTGTCATGTGTCATGCTTTTTGAGACCATTCACCTTTTGTTGGGGATGGTATGTGAAGCTTTAGATAATAATTTATGACATCCCATTTACCATTAGTAGCTTCTAATAAATGTTTCTGGTCCCTCTTGACCAGCCCTGCATATCCGCATGGCAGTAGCTCAACCCATTTCTTTTTACAACCTATTCTTTTTTATACCCAGCTGAGGTATAAAGCCAGCCAGTTACAACCTATCCTATCATAGGTTAAACTGAGATGTTTAGCGGTCATCAATGTTGCTGACTCAGTGGGGTTGGGAAGTCCAGAAGAGATTCCAGCTGCAGGGCTATTTGTGATCAATCATTTTAGAGATCAGCCAAAGTGGGAGGGCCATTTTCAGTGAGAAAATTGGGAGTGAAGGCTGGTTTTAGAGCAACAGAGGGAGGATGCTCATTTCTATGAAAGTTTCACAGGTTATATAGGAGGGGTGTTGATTGTAATAGAAGGTGATGTTAGTTATCTTGAGTGGCTCTGCTAGCTGACCTTGGCTGGATGGTGGGGAAATTGGGAGCAACTTATGATGAGTTAATGATGGAAGGGGCCTGGAGCTACAGGAATACAAAGGAAACCTGTTGTTCTTTGTGTTAGATTGAGATAGAGTTGAGAGGAGCACCATACAGTTCATTTCAGAACAAAGGAAACCATTTCATTGATGATCTCATTTTCACTCTAGTGACCTTGGCCTCAAATTGCTGATCACAAACATTCATTTGCTATAGATTTTGGTCATTTTCTGAGCGTTTCGTGGACAAATAGGCAGACATGATACCCACTGGCAAATCTTGGATGGGCAGAGGTAGAAATATTCTCAGAGTTTCAAAGTGTCAAAGTAAAGATCAAGTGGGGCTGGAGTGGGAACGCTATTGATCGTTAAAGATACTTCAGCTTGACTGGGGACTTTGCTTCTGAAATGATGGAGTATGAATGCTTGGGCCATAAGGACAAGGCAGGAAACTTGCTGGTTTAACCATCCTGCCCAACAAAGGTTCTACCTGCCTTTCTGGGCTTGGGGTCTGAGTTGGTGTTGGGTTTTTCTCACCTATTGTGCTGGGAGGTTTCAGTCTACATGCACTATTGGCTAGGAGAGCTCAAAAATTCATGACCTGCATAAAGACCATAGGTCAGTCTCAGGTTTATCACACAGGAATACACATGTTAGACTTCCTATTTCCTTTGGAGCAGTTTCATGAAAGGCATGTGGAGGGTATTAGCCCTTTCCATAGTCATTTTACTTCCTGGGCCAATTGATTGTGACCCAACTCTTTAAGACAAAAGATCCCATTCGGATACTCTGATGACTAATGGATCCAAATGTTTTTAGCAGATGCTTGCACAGCCTCTCAGTCATCTGCTGAGCAATTTTATCTTGTTTGGCCACCAGCAGTAAGAGGTTTCCTTTAATTGCTCTCAACCAGTCTTTTTCTATTAGCTGATCTTGGAAGACACCTTTGCTTAGGGGCTGCTGAAGAAAGTGACAGTAAAAATCCCTGGAGTGAAGGGTGAAATTCAGCAGGTTCTGGAGAACCGGTAGCAGAAATTTTGAGTAGTTCAGAGAACCAGCAAATGCCACTTTTGGCTGGCCCCAGAGTGGGGTGGGAATGGAGATTTTATAATACCATTCCCCCGGTGGTGGTGGGGGGAATAGGGAGTTTGACGTACCCTTTTTTCAGGAGTGGGGAGAGAATTGGGATTTTCCCCTACCACGCCCACCAAGCCATGCCCACAGAACCGGTAGTAAAAAAAAATTGAGTACTGCCTGGAGTACTGGTATGAAATGAATCTGACTAGGCACAAATACAAACAAAATTCAGGCCAACACTGTGGGAACAAGGGAGTCAAAGTTTCTTCAATTCTTTTCATTGAATGAGCAAGATATTTTCCAGCTTTCTAATAAGAATGGGAGATTCCAATTTAGCAAAAGAATAACATGTAGATCTGCTTGGCCATGGTGACTACTTTGCCCAGGATTTTGCTGATCACATCACTCAGATTTTCCAGAGATTACTTCATGGGCAAAGTGATGTGATTGTGGTAATGTCTGCATATTATCATCCAGAGATGTCTTTTGATCAGTGAACCTCAGTGAAATATAAATAGGGTGCTCTCTAGAATGAGTTCTATTCTTCACAAGCTTCATCCATGCCTTTCCTGGTACTTTTAGCGGAGCTGATGGGAGCATGCTCAGTGCAATCTGGGAACCCATCAGCACCACACTTTGAGAGAGTATGGTAGTACAGCTTTGAAAGAAATTCTGGTGGTCTTGTTAATGAAGAAGCCCACTATGAATCCAGTTGTTTGGAACAATAATATAGTTTCCCTTTTGGAGCAAAGTTATTGTGACATAATTATCAGAAGACAACTACATTGTTCCCATGAAGAAGCAGATTATCTTGACCCATTTTCATCAGAGTTCAGACCTGGGATAGAGGTGACAACTGGTTACTCTAATGGATTATCTTTGTTCGGTCTTCCATTGGAGAAGCATGCCCCTCCTAGTCCTTTTATACCTCCCAGTATATCATCAAACATAGTATTCTAGACTATCTACAAAGGTTGGAGGTTGGAAGCAGTGTTAATTAATTTCATTACTTCTTTAGATAGCAACCCAGTCAATTCTGTAGGAGGAAAAAGAGGTCAACTTGGTATTCATTTCATTTGGGGACTCTTCTGGATTCAGTCTTCTTGCCTCAAGTATTTTATATGTAGCTGCTGGGAAAGCTCATCAGGGCAGGATATCTTCATTATGCTGATGATATTTAGCTTTATAGCACATGCACACACACACACACACACACACCACGTTGTGCTACAGATACAGTTGAGGCTTTGCTGTGTTTATTGGAAGCTGTAAGTCTGGATGAGACAAAACAGACTTAAT